AATTTGAAACTTGAACACGTCATGTCATGCCTCATTGAGCTATTACTGATTTATGACAGTGAAATATATTCTGGTTCATTGAAGTGAAGAACATGTCACTGAAGTTCGCTGTAAAACAGAAGAGCTTTTTCCATTTTGAGCTCGCGATTATCCAATGTTATCACCACATTCCCACATATTTGTCAACTTTATATAAATGGCTGTGAGGAATCGCGCAGATGGGGAAGAACGCCCTATGGGCGTCTGACTATGCTGATTGCTTTGCCTTGAGCTTTTTCTTTGCAAGAGTGGTGTTAAACAGAATATGCACCCCTATAACCTAATTTCCTCTTATGCGGGAACGAAAGCGGATTTCGCGAAACTGCATTTGTGGCGGGAAGTTGTGCTCCACAATAACTCTAGGGTTTTTGGTACAGAAAGGTTGTTTTTCAGCCTTGCTCGGTCAGGCGATGTTCCTCGTGCTCTCCGGCTACTGCGGATGCGGTCAAGAGGTTTGTGAACACCTTCCTGTTTTTTTATGCATGATCTGAAATACAAGGCTTTCCGTTTCCATCTAATCGATTGCAGGTACTAGTGATAGTCTACCTCACGGCTGGAATGGCTATTTCCGGTCTACAATACTCCGGTTTTGTGGTCAACTATTTGGACATTGCCCCCTCATTCTCTGGCACAATCATGGGAATGGGTAACACAATATCTTGTCTCGCTGGTATTGTTTCACCAATGGTCACGTCAGCGCTGACTCCGAATGTACGTGTCGATTAGAGGATTTCGTGCTATGCAGCTTCAGCTACACACATTTTGCAGGGAACCCAAGAAGAATGGCAAGGCGTTCTGTGGCTGACAGCCGGTATCCTTGCGACTGGCTCGATAGTGTTCAGTATTTTTGCTAGTGGAGAAGTCCAAGAGTGGGCGAGACACAAGGGAGGAGATGGCCCTGAAGAACTACCTCTGAAAGAGGCAGAGGCGATGCTAGAGAAAGACACTCATTAAGCGCATATCATTTATTAGGTCATGTTTTTGTTACCTTACAATTTATTCTGATATTAGACGTGGTGAAAACTATGTAGGTCAGTTGCTGTAAACAGTGTATCGCTAGCAGTGCTATAGTTTACATATCCCTTCTGAGTTTGCCACTCATGTGGTATGATCAGATTGACTTAAAGGCAGGGGTCACGATGGCTGGAGGGCGGTACGGCTTTGGTGACATCATTGAGCGTCATTGGTGGACTAGACCTCTGAGTGCGCTGGGGTGTGGTTGAGACGGCCTCCTAATATCCTTCCACCAATGACGTTCAATGACGTCATCAGTGCCCTCCAGCCGTCGTGGTCACTGCCTTTAAGTTGGTTCCCAAGTCGTTTAGCGAACTTAAGTTTTTGGAAAGCAGTTGCAAAACTGTTGTGAAGCGCAAGCCACTTTTCGTTCAACTATTAACCCCTCCGAAATCTCCTTATTAAAAGGTAGCGATAACTATCAAAGTTGTTAGCTGTTTTATTGTTAAGTATCACAAAGATTCTTATGATCACGTTCACTGTCATCATAGTTATTAATTTATTAATTGAATTGAATTATAATATTATTAACTAATTACCTGTAATTTTTGTTATTAATATTGCTATTAGTAGATTTGAAATGGATTTAGTGATCAGTCTCTCAAATCAGTGTAGTTTCTGTGATTTTAGCACGATTTTGGTGCTTTAGTCGACTTTCATTGTTCGAGAACAACAAGCAGACATATTTGCATTCCTCATGTCTGTTAAATCGTTATATGAGCAAATTAATCGAGCTTTTCTGTTTTTATTGGTTGACATTGTTTTAGACTAATGTATCGTTTTCCGTATCTGTTGCTATTCAATTGTTGCAAAGGTTGTGAATGGTAAAGTCTGCTTGCCAGATTCATGCAGGTCAAGTCCTGGCTGTGTCCGAATTCAGAACTTCTAAAAATTGGAGTTTCCGCCATATTCGTCGAGCACCTTCTTCAGCAGGAAAATACATTTGCCAATGAAATGAATAGCCTGTTGCAGTTGATTATGGTTGGTTTGTGGTATGGGTTTTGTTAGGACTGGTGTCAGAATCCGCGATCTGTCGCAGGTTTCGCGCGATTCGCAAGAGTCGCTGGTGCCCCCATACGATACTCGCGAAGGTGCGCCATACCGTTCCAATCTGCCTAAACAGTGATGATCTGCACTTTCAAATTGTTTTCCGTAATGTTTCATATTCATACTACTCCCTTTCAAAAAGAGCGTCGGGTGCAGACCATACACCACAAGTGACGACGGCCTCCACAAAATGTAAATGTTTTCTGCCAATGAAATGATTAGCCTGTTGCAGTTGTATTCTATCAGTTGTCACTAATTACAACTATCATTTACCAAAAATCAGCTATCACTATGAACCACTAACCAGATTTACTTGGAGGCCGTCGTCACTTGTGGTGTATGGTCTGCACCCGACGCTTTCTTCTCTTTTGAAAGGGAGGGTAAATGCTCAGATGTCGGTCAGACTGCGATTGCATCGCACGATGCAATCGCAGAGTCTGACCGACATCTCATGGAGAACTTCTATTTTTCTTCTTTTTCAAGACCGAATTCAGCATGGATTTTACGAACATTCTATTTCATTTCTGATGTTAATGCCCTCTTGTTCATATCGAGCCTATTGGATTTACAACATAAGGTGTACTCTGATGATTGCCTCTCCTCAAGGGTGAATAACGGTCGAGGAATTCCTCGACCATGGCTCTCTACTGTGCGAGAGTAGTGTCGAGAGTGAATGAATGCGCGGAGAGCACAGACGGCTCGCGCTGGCGAGAGTGAGCATCCGCGTGGGAGAGCGTGAAAAAGAATCCTCGACGAGCCGTTGTCTTTTCCTCAAGCGATTTTCACCCTGCTCTCCTCTTTTCTGCAGAACTGTGGAACCACCGTCTAAAATTTGTGGTTTTTTTTTCACTCTGCTTTACCGGCCTAAATAAGGCCACCGCTGTAAGTGGCAAGCTCACCCCTGCGTGCTGCTCACTTAACACAATGGCTCCTTTAGGGCTCCAATTCCAGAAAAAAAAACAGTTTATACATGGTTATTCATGTTTTTTTTTCTTCAGTTTTTCATATCGAACTCATAAACATTTGAAACAATGAACATGAAACAAGTAGCACCATGAACAGTCGTGCTTCAAGCATCACTGTTAAGCAGAACTGAAGCAGGATTATGGCAGCACCTCGCAGTACTGATCGGGGCACCAGCCATTTTGCAATTGCGTGAATCTCGCGACTGGCGCGAATCGCGCGAAACCTGCGACGGATCGCGGACTCTGACACCAGCCTCACTGGGCGTGCGGTCGCAGTCCCATATCTGTTACGTGGAACACTTCGCAAAAACCATTTCGGTGGAATTTCCAGTATGCAAGCATAGATTGTCAGTATACAATTCTTCCAAAACGAACAACTATGAAAAGCCGTTTATCACAAAAACTAACCCAATAAGTTGTTCAGCGCTCACGTATTTTACCTTATATAACTTATAAACTCTTCAACCACGCCACTGAACGAACACGCAAAGATCTAGAATCACTACAGAAGCTGATGACCACTTTATGCTATCAAAACACCCAAATATTCGAGAATAGGATGGAGGTGAGTAAATTAGCCTTACGCAAAGAGATCACCTGATTCCAAAACACAGTCAAGTTGGCAGCAGCACGACCACGCGCTGCGTTCGCGCTTGCGCCCATTACCACAAAAACTTAATAAAATAGGGAAAAGGATAAGAATGCATGATCTCATAGGAAGAACGCTTACCTATAATCCGTAATGGGAGGAGAGGAAACAAGAAACTAGCCTTTCCTTAAGAGAGAAAGTACTGGTGAGAATCCACCGTCTGTTCGAAGGATAGGATAAAAAAGGGAATGCAATGACAGTTTCAAGGTGGAATTAAGAAGAGACTTGCGAGACCTCAGAACAATATCCCTTCTGTACTCACAAATGATCACCCATTTCAAAGTGAGGAAATAGAACCATAGTTTTATTCATCTTTCTCAACTTGCGGCAGGTCCTCAACATCGTCCTCGCTACTGCTGACTTTATCGCCAAACAAAGTCTGCTCGGAAATCGTTGTATCCTAAACGTAGAGTATTTATTTTCATCATGACAGATCTAGTAAAGCAGGCAAAAAAGCAAAGGACAGCAAAGATTGAGAGAAATAAAGTACGATAGGAGCATGAAGGAAAAGGAAGAAAAGAGAAACATGCTTGCGTTGATGAAGTTGACATGCAAGCTTTGGCATTCATTGGCAGCCCAAACACCTTGCGTTTATCGTCAGCTTGTACTATCTCCCAACGAAATGATTCGGCTTCCAGATCAGCTCGAAGAAGACGTTTCAGCTCACGTCCACCTAAACGTTTAGACCGCAAAAAAAAGCTTGTGATCGCGCCACAAGGAATCGCAAGCGATGACCAACCTAAGGGTAAATGCTGATAAAATGGAATGACTCATTTGTGAACAGTTTAATGCCACACGGAATCGCGCTCACCACGATTCACTGGCGATTTGCAATGAAGATACCAAAATTCACGAATTCAGCGGACTCCCATGAAAGCACACCCGCTTTCCACTTACAATCCTACTTCGCCAGGCTCAACTAATTTTCTCCTGGTTTTGTGCTATCTCAGAAGCTAGTTGTAAACTTTGCGACAACGTCACCCACGACATATGCGTTCCACCTCCAGAATGGCCTAACTGGAAAATGGATCAAGGATTGCCAGTTTGGGCTGTCAACTCGAACTAGGACGGCCTATCACGGTTGCGAGGCTTCCACTGAGTGAGCGGGTATGTACTTGAAAGACTCATATTTTGTCTTGATTATAAAAGCGTCTACAGAGTACAAAAAGGCACTATCGCAAGGCACGGGGGAATCGTAGTGGCAGTGCATTAATTTTGTTGTAAAACGGAACGAAGCTTTAGGCGGGGTGGAGAGAATCCGGGGTTCGTTAGCATTTTTCATTTTCCTCCATAATTCTGCACCTTCCCAGGCTTACAATTAGTCATAAAGTATGCCCCCGGATCTAGCGATAGCGCAAAGAAAAAAATAGGTAGAAAAACAAAGTACAAAATGTTTAAGGAACATAAATTGAATGTGGCTCGCTATTGAAAGGTGGAGTGAGTCCCAAAGAAGCGGAGTTTTCCGAAATCAGCCGTGTACTATATGCTTGAGAGATGATAGGGCATCATGGTAGAGCATTTGTGGGTTAATTCGCCACTGATTACAAATAATACTAGCTTTATGATGAAAGCTCTACTGTACTGCTTGTAGAAAAGAGGACACATCACTGTACTCACCATCAACGTGTAAAATATGATGAAGAAGGAACGAAGTCGAAGGCCCTCTTACTATACTGGCCCCTAACCTGTGTAGCAGAAAACTGGATGGAAGAGA